GGATTAAAACGCCGACTTTGAGGTGTATTTTCATATAGTATTTATCATTGTATTCTCGTTTTCATGGTCTCACATGATAAAATGGAAAACATACTGCAGAAATAGAGATGATTTTGATTAGTTTCATGATGAAAACGATCTTGAAATTGAGCTCAAAGTAGCAGAAATGTTCGATCATACCTCACGTCCAATACATGTCAACTGGGGAGTCTAATATTCTTTCACTAGTGCACTGATATTATTTATACCATTTTTACAATAATGCAGTAGGCTGCATAACAGTAAATTTTGTATTTTTTGTATGAATAAAAATCAAAATAGAAAGCAACAGTAATAAAAAAGAGGGGCCTAGAGACATGACTAACGAACAGAGGATATGTTATTTTAGTGCCAAGAATGTCTACATTGTTTATTCTGGACCCCGTTTTGAAATTGGCATCTTTTTTAATTTGCGTTAAATTGGCCAAATTGCCAATTTCTGACCACTTTATTGCTTAGTTCAAATCGGTAAATGGGCAGTTTCTTGTACTTAATTGATAGAAAAAATGATGTTCTAAAGAAATAGCTATAAGTTTGGTCAACTGGAACAATGGAATTAGTCAAAAACAGGGCTGAAAGTCGGCGAAATCGCCGATGCATATATGTCACCGAGATCGCTAACTTCGTGGGAGCCTAATTCCATGAGTTTTCGACCAAATTTTGTACTTTTGGTGTCATTACCATTGGGAAAACATTCTCTATCATTTCACAAGATTTTTTTTGTTTTTCCCAAAAATTTTGTGACATAGAATGACAGTTTCAGAAAGGGGCTTGCGACAGTCAAAGGGTTAACCCTTACATGGTCCAAACATATATATACGTTCTTATGCATAGCGTCGCAAACTATACATACGTTTATTTTTCTTTCCTTCAAATTTGGCACGATTGCCTGAGATGCCTTGTCAGCATAGAATGGGTCCTAACACTTAGTGTGCGTGGTATTAAAAAAAATCTGGGACCACTTAGTACTTGTGGGAGCGCCAGTTAAATTGAGCACCAGCTAGAGCAAACAGTGCGGCAAGCACCAAGGATTCACTGCTGTAATGTCATATTAACACTCCTCTTTTAAGAGGAAAGTGATGTTAACCCCAAGTTTAGGGTCTATCTCTGTATCTCTGTCTTCCTCTGTCTGTCTGTCTATCTCTGTCTCTATCTCTTTCAATCTGTCTCTCTTTCTATCTATCTCTGTCTCACAGGTACACATAAATACAAGTATACATAGTGTAAATTACCTAGGATAACCCCAAAAATCCAGACAAAGTGCTATACTCTGCTTGAAGATGTGAGTAAACGTGATGACAATGCAGTCTTGTGGCTCCCTCTGAGACAGAGAGTAGACAGATAGATAGACAGGGAGCTTGACAGACACAGACAGACATGTTTGTGTACCAGTGAAAACAAAGTGAGGGCGATGCTCATCAAATATCACCTCTAACCTTTTCTTCTCTAACCTTTTCTTATCAGCTGCACCCTCCCCCACCCTCGTGTATGCTCATCAAACGTCAGCTCTTATCAGTTGTTATCTCATCTTATCATGTCACTGTCAGGGGTGGACTTTGTTTTTCAACGCTTCAAGGGGACTTATTATTACCTATTATTATTATTACGTATTCTTCTTCTTCTCCTCCCTCCTCCTTCTCCTCCTCCTTCTCTTCCACCTTCTCCTTCTCCTCCTCCTCCTTCTCTTCTCCCTCTCCTCCTCCTCCTTCTCTTCCTCCCCTCCTCCTCCTCCTCCTCCTCCCATCTCCTCCTCATCCTCTTCCTCCTCCTCCTCCTCCTCTTCATCTTTCTCCTCCTCCTCATTATTATATACTTCCACATATCCAAAACATTGCTGGGACATATAAATACTTTGTATATATTCCAAGACAACAGTAAACGGCTAATGCAGGTTTAAATGTCCACCTGTCAGTGTGTTTGTGACAATTTGAGTACAATTTCAGTACCTAATTCTAGTGTCAGAACAAAGATTGTTTATAAAATGACAAGAACTACTACAAATTGTAATTATCAGAACATAAAAATTACATAAAATAATATGAAAAACAGTAAAAAAGGTATATCGGCAACACTTCTGCAAGCGGCAGGACTCGATGTTGCTGTCACATGAGCATCCAGTGCCAACTTCTCGGCCTCATATCTTGGTAAGTACTGACCCTAAAATTTTTTTTATTCTAAAATACTTAAAAAAAAATGTGCTCTTTTTGTCTATAATTTTTTTTTTTTTCAAAATATTTGGAGCGCTGCGCGAGTGAACGTATATATATGTTTGGACCGTTTAACCCTTAAATGGTCCAAATGTATATACAGTGGACCCCCGCATAGCGACCTTAATCCGTGCAAGAGGGCTGGCTGTTATGCGAAATGTTCGCTATGTGAATGAATTTTCCCCATAAGAAATAATGGAAATCAAATTAATCCGTGCAAGACACCCAAAAGTTTGAAAAAAAAAATTTTACCACATGAAATATACATTTTCCTACACACAAAGAGAAGGATACATGCACAATAGTAGAGTAGTACATGCACAGTATATATTGTGCATGTACTACTCTACTAAATGAAGAATAAATGACACTTACCTTTATTGAAGATGCATAGCAATGACTGATGAGACACTGTGTCCTGGGAGTGCCTTTTCCTCCTGAGTACTGTAGGTCCTGTTTGGTATTTTCTTCCAGAACAGGCCTTATCACACTGTGTATGTCACTACGATTCTTAAATCTCTCAAACCAACCTTTGCTGGCTCTAAATTCACCAATATGAGCACTAGTTCCAGGCATTTTCCCTGTTCACCTGGGTGTTAGTCGACTGGTGTGGTTTGCATCCTGGGAGACAAGATTAAGGACCCCAATGGAAATAAGTTAGACAGTCTTCGATGACACTGACTTTTTTGGGCTATCCTGGGTGGCAAATCCTCTGGGGTTAATTGTTTCTTGGTATTCTCAATAAGCCACACCAACAACGGTGCTACAGCAGCAGCAGCATGCAGCTGACGGTGGTACTGCAGCAACAGACGATGCTACAGCAGCAGCAGACGATGCTACAGCAGCAACTGACGATGTTACAGCAGCAGCAGACGATGCTACAGCAGCAACTGACGATGTTACAGCAGCAGCAGACGATGCTACAGCAGCAGCAGCAGCAGACGATGCTACAGCAGCAGCAGCAGCTGACGGTGGTACAGCAGCAACAGACGATGCTACAGCAGCAACAGACGATGCTACAGCAGCAGCAGACGATGCTACAGCAGCAACTGACGATGTTACAGCAGCAACAGACGATGCTACAGCAGCAGCAGACGATGCTACAGCAGCAGCAGACGATGCTACAGCAGCAGCAGACGATGCTACAGCAGCAGCAGATGATGCTACAGCAGCAGCAGATGATGCTACAGCAGCAGCATACGGTATACAGCAGCAGGAGCAGTGACGGTGGTACAGCAGCAGCAGCTGACAGTGCAGCAGCAGCTGACGGTGATACAGCAGCAGCAGCAGCTGTACCACCAATAGTAGCGATGGTTGATTGGGGTTTATTATACAACCTGGCCAGCTTGGAGACACGCACTCCACTTTCATACTTATCAATGATCTTTTTCTTCATCTCCATAGTAATTCTCACCCTATTGCTGTAGGGTTGGCACTAGAAGCTTTCTTGGGCCCATGGTCACTTATTTTCCAGAAAAAAATCACCAAAAACACTGTAATAATACAAAATGTTCCGATTGTATGCTGGATGTTACCGCGGAGGCTGGCTGGTAACAATGCCACCCGTGGAACATGTGAGCGTGGCTCAGGCCGCACATTGGACGCGTCTCGGACGAAGGCCGCTGAGCGGGTTTTTGGGCGCTATGCGGGGCAAAATTTTAGCGATCAAAGCGTCCACTATGCGGATTGTCCGTTATGCAAGGCGTCCGTTATGCGGGGGGTCCACTGTATACGTTTTTTCAACATCTGAAAGTATGTAAAAAAATGTAGATCTTTTTTGTTTTACATTTGAAAACGTGTAAAAAAAACTTTTATCTACATTTTATTTTTTTGTTACATATGAAAATATGTTAAAAAAAGTAGATCTACTTTTGTAGCACTACGAATCTGAACATCGATTTGTTTGGACCGTTTAAGGGTTAAGGGTTAAACTGTAAGGCCTTTTCCTAATTAAGATGAAATTAAGTGGTGCACCTTTCTTTGTCTTTTGTTCGATGCACTCAAGCAACAAGTTTACAGTTTTATTTACTTGTTATGATCTGTGTGTCATTCTTTTCATGAGATGACATCTTGGGTTATTCATTATACAAGCTCGTATATTTGCCTCGTTCTTTATAATTGTGCAAATTGACGCTTCATTAAGGTCATAGGCCCTCACTATATCCACCACACATGAGCCACTCTTAAGCTTGTCTAATACAGTGGAACCTTGAGTTCCAGCCATAATCCATTCCAGGAGCTAGGCCTAAACTCGAAATGGCTGAAAGTCGAAGCAATATTTCCCATAAGAAATAATGTAAATACAATGAATCTGTTCCAGACCCAAAAAAATATTCACAAAAAATACAATTTTTAAAGAATAACTATAGTTTAACATGCACATAGTGTTAAATGAGTAATACAATACATAAATAAACATTTAAAATCACATTTACGTATCTTTATTGAAGACTCTTGTTGGGATCTGGAAGATAGAGAGGAGGAGAGAGGGAGGACTTACTACTGCCTCAACCACTGCCTCCACCACTGCCTCAACCACTGCTTCAACCATTGCCTCAACCACTGCCTCCACCACTCCACAACAGTCTACTGTACACTGTTTCTTTCTCTACCTGAGTTATATTTTTTAGTCTAAGTAGTTACTTACTTTTCATATATAGAGAAATTAAAATAAAAAAAAACACTAATGTAGGGAAGTACACGTTTGTTGTCTGAGCGAGTCATATGTGATGGTCAGAAGCAGAAATTGGATTTTATAGTTGTGAATGAAAAAGAAAGTAGACTGTTGTAGTGCTACTGGTAACTTACCTTATGATTATACGAGTCAGCCAAATATACACAATCTCCAACAGTAGCCACAGCCAAAGGATGTTGTAGTTTTGCATCAATGCCAATGCCATCAACATCACCATAAGCAAACAGATCCTCCACAAATTTATAAAGAAGTTAAATTATTTTGTCAATACAGTACCATAAATATGTTCAAAGGGAATCATGCAAACATATTTTTTTCAGAACCTCTACTTTCCACTCTGAAGGAGTTGGGGGATGACACTGTAATTCGGAGAAACATTTGAAATGTGATGCATGCACTTCTGAGAAAACAGTTATTGACTAAATAATGATAAATGTGTTTCATTTTTTTGGGGGGTCATGCCATCTTGATAATATATGGTTGATATGATAAATTTTTAAACAATCTATATAGTTATATACTCAGTAATAATGAATTTGCATTATATAAAAAAATCTGGAAAAAAGATGAAAACAAAATAATTACTTACAAGAGGATCACGAGCTGCTCCAACAACAGCCTTCACAGCACCATCTGCTAAGCTCATTCTCCTTATTGAGGAACTCTCAGAGTCAGCAATATAAAGCACTGAAGATCCTGAATGAGTGCCTACTGCGAGTCCTGAGGGCTGAGCAAATCCAGCTCGAGCAGGGTAAGAAGTATTTCTGTTCTCTTCAGCTCCACTGCCAGCTAAACGTACAACAGTTCCCTTACTGTATGAACTGGAAATTATAAAATGGGGGATATGTTCATGAAATCTAATCTATCCTTAACCCTTTCACTGTCGAGACCCCTGCTCACAAACTTGCTCTCAGTGTCGAAGAATTTCCCAAAAAATAAAAAAAAAATTTCCTTCTTATGAAATGATAGAGAATCTTTTCCAAATGGTAATGACACCAGAGTATGAAATTTGATGGAAAACTTACGGAAATACACTCTCACGAAGTTGGCAGTCTTGGCGATATACACACATCGGCAATTTCGCCCACTTTGAGCCAGTTCCATTGTTCCAGTCGACCAAACCCATAGCTATGTTGCCAGAACTCCATTTCAACTACCCATTAAAGGGGTAAAAACTGACAATTTGGCCAATCTCACACAAATTTCAGAAGATGCCAATTTCAAAACAGGGTCCAGAATAAACAATGCAGACATTCCTAGTACTAAAATAACATTTTCTCTGTTCATTAGTCACATCTCCAGGCCCCTCTTATATTACTCTTGCTTTCCATTTTGAATTTTTATTAACACAAAAAATAGAAGATTTCCTGTTATGCACACTACTGCATTATTGTAATAATTGTATAAATAACATCAACCCATTTGTGACTGCATATTAGGCTGGCCAGTTGGACACATACTGGATGGTGACGTCATTTGTTTACTCTTGAACATCTCAAAAATCGAACATTTCCGCTAATCTGAGCTCAATTTCAAGGTACTTTTCATCATAAAAGCAATCAAAATCATCTCTATTTCTGTAATATATCTTCCATTCTATCAAATGAGACCAAGAAACCGAGAATATAACCATAAATACCATATGAAAATGCACCTCAAAGTTGGCATTTTAAACCAAAAACACTGTCAGAGTTTTCTTTTTCTCATTATGCACTGCGTGCTGCAGGATTTTTTTTATACTGTGCACACTGACCACACAGACCCATTCTCTCACATGTAGGTCTACCAGCTTTCTCCCACTAGATTTGAAGCCACTAGAATTTTGGTGTAATACTACAGCACCAACACTGGCTTGCAAGCCGTAGTATTATGGCACCGACAGTGAAAGGATTAAACATATGAATTAATCAACTTTACTGGGTATGTATTACTGCAGCAATGTTTATTAATTCTCATTTAAAATTTCACATTCATACAGTTACCCTCTTTTTTTTTTCAATGTACAGTAGGCCCTCAGTTTTTTTGTGAAGGCTATCTTCCTGAAATTGAAGCTACACATGATAATGCAGAGGAGGAGTGAACAACTTATGGGAAAAACTGGGTTATGTTCCAGAACACTTAAAAAAAAACCCTAACAACTTTTTATTTAATTCTTAGTCAAAATTAGGTCTTTTCTTTCATTTTTTTTTACATTTTACAGTGTAGATGTTGTTCCTTGTTGATCTAGAAATGTGTGGCAAAGTTAAGTGTTGTCTAACTAGGCCTAGTTGGATGTAGCGAGGTGTAGACACTCATTAACAAAAACAAGAAATTAGTGTTTGATTTTATTAGAGTATCATAGGTTATACCAGGGGTGGGGAACCTGTGGCCATTTACAGCATTAACTGTAGCCTTTTGAATGTAGTATTTTTCTTGAAGTTATTATTAATAATTAACTCTTTACAAAATAACTGACATTTTGCAGTATATCTAATCAAAATTTCTTATTATTACAGCTAACTTTAACCCTTTTAGGGTCCAGACCCTTGATCTGAAACTTAACCAGGGTCCAAGAATTTTCAAAAAAATTTTTGGTTATTTTTTCTGAAGGTAATAAAACAAAAACTTATGAAATTTGATGGAAAATTGGCGAGATTACGATATTGCAAATTTTGCTGTGTCGGCGATATTTACGCATCAGCAATTTTGCCCATTTTGATTCCTATTTTAGGCCAACTGCATTGTTCCAGTTGACCAAATTCTTAGCTATTTCGCTAGTATGCCTTCTATTTTATTGATCGAGCACAAAAGAATGCCCAATAAACTATTTCAACTACCCAATAAAGTGATCAGAAACTGATAATTTGGCCAATTTCACAATTTCAAAATGGGGTCCAACATAAACAATGCAGGCATTCCTGACACTAAAATAACATTTCCTCTGTTTGCGAGTTATGTTTCCAGACTTTACACATGAATTCCATTTTTATTTTTTACTGCCTCTCCTCACTTAACGATGGAGTTAGGGGTCCAAGACCCCATTGGTAAACAATTTCATTGCTAATCGAGGAATCACCCCTTACTGACACTTCAAAAGTGTCACCACCCAAAATTAAAACATTCAGCTCTATGTTCGCTGGGTGTTATATCTTGGAGATTGGTCATCCTGTGATATTTAACTATTGTAAGAGAATATGATCATCACTTAATATTATAGTGCGAAAGTCCCCGTTTATAGCTAAAATAGAGACTTTCGGCGTTATATTATTATCTGTTAATATATAAAAAATACCATGGTATTATCACTATTATTATTATTATTATTATTGTTAGGTAGGATTTCTTATGTATATAGAGCATACAAGTCTCGGAACCATCAGGTAAATTGTTCAATTGTTTATGTCCAGCTGACTGACGTTTGGGTCAGGTGATCCAACCTGATGACGGGTCAACAGACTGGCAGGTAGTCAGTCCGCTCCCTGTTCTAGCCTTGACAACTGATCATATATTGGTTCTCACTTAGGTGTATACAGTTTGAATGGGTTTGAGAATTAGGCTCTAGAGCTGACTCAGTTTGTTACTCATTGCTCTGAAGATTGTTTTGATATTTATATTCTTGGTCAGTTCAGTAATCCATAGAGATACGTCTTCTCAGACAAACTCTTGCTTTCTACCTCCTTTACGGCTGGATTCAAAGGTCTTGTTGAATCTTGTACATTTTGCAGTTTGAGTTCACACAATCTTGTTAAGACAAAAACGTAAATGTTAGTGAAGACTTAATTACAGGAAGAAAAATTAATCTTCCTTATTAATGTGATATTTCCATGATTTTTAACTAAATATATATATGTTATTGTAAATTTATTGTACATAAAGTATTAAGATATAATATTAGGTACAGAGAGAAGATAAAGTATTGTATTTAAATACTTTAATAAATTTGAATATTATTCTATGGAGTTTCCCAGTTGAAATTATTTCCCCTAGACTCTAAAATACCTTTAACAAACTCTGATCCAAAATCTTGTTGCCTATGAAGAAAATAGTAACAGACCACATTCTGAAGTTCTTCATAAAATTTCTTATTCGCAACAAATGGGGTACCTGTCCGGGATCTCTGTTGTTCTAAGACATTTATTTATTTATTTATTTATTTATTTATTTATTTATTAACAATTTGAGCATACATACAGAGGTACAAAAAAATACAGATAAGAGCAGCATGCCAAAGCCACTTATACTATGCATAGCATTACGGGCTGGCTTAAAATTAACTAAGCAATGATGAAATCAGTGATAATACATTATTGTAAACAGATAACTATAAAGCACAAATGAGTATTACAAAGACAGGTCATATGGTTGCATGCACTGTTGTACATTCAGTCGTATGGAGTATTCTGTTAGGTAGTGTATTTAAAAAATAATAAAGTTAGATTGGGTTTTAGGTTTTAACATTTATATGATTTTAATTGTGAGAAACATTTAAGATATACAATTTTTTAAGGTTCAATTATTCAGTATTTATTTGGTTTTGGGTGAGTAAGTGATCTTTGAGAAGAGACTTGAATTTATAAACAGGTAGTGTTTCTTTTATATTTACAGGTAATGAATTCAAGATTTTAGGGCCTTTTATGTGCATTGAGTTTTTGCATAGTGTTTAGATGGGACACGAGGAACATCAAAGAGTGATCTGTGCTGTGCCTTGTGTTATGGTCATTTTGTTCTGTTGAGGTTGGCAAGGAGATGTTTGAGGGGAGGGTTAATATCAGAGTTAAGTGTTCTATGTATGTAATAGGTGCGTAAAAAAGTATGGATGTTTTGTATGGTGAGTAGGTTTAGTGTATTGAATATTGGTGGAGTGTGCTGCCTGTAGTGAGAATTTGTTATCATTCTAACTGCAGCCTTTTGTTGGGTAATTAGTGGTCTGAGATGGTTAATTGTTGTTGGCCCCATGCACAAATTCCATAGGTGAGATAGGGGTAAAAGAGAGTGATATAGGGCCAGGGGGCTGACTGTGGAACTTTGTACCGTTCTTCGATAGTATGCCTACAGTCTTGGAAATTTTCTTAGAAATTTGTTGTATATGTGTATGAAAATTTGAGTCTATTATCAAGGTGGATTCCTAAGAATTTTCCCTCTGTTAGCTTTGTGATAGGTGATCCGTTTATCATTATGTTAAGAGGGGCATCTGTAGCTCTGTTACCAAACTGAATGAAGTAGGTTTTGTCAATGTTTAGTGTAAGTTTGTTAGTCCTCATCCAGGTAGATATTTTCTGTAATTCGGTATTTACAGTATTGGCTAGCGTGACTGGGCTCGGGTGAGAGAAGACGTATGTAGTGTCATCTGCAAATAGTGTGGGTTTGAGTAATTGCGAAGCATTTGGAAGGTCATTTATGTATAGGAGAAAGAGAAGAGGGCCAAGGACACTTCCCTGTGGGACACCAACTGTAATTGGTTGTGCAGAAGAGTTTGCCCCATTTGCATACACATATTGGCTTCTGTTGCTGAGGTATGACTTGAGGTAGTTGAGGGAGTGCCCTCTTATACCATAGTGTGACAATTTTACGTGGAGCAAGTCATGGTCAACTGTATCAAAAGCTTTACGTAAGTCAATGAAGATCCCCAGTGGGACTTCTTTTTTCTCTATTGCAGTGTATATATGTTCTAGCATGTGTATAATAACATCATTAGTATTTTTATTAGGCCTGAATCCAAATTGGCAGGGGTTGAGTATGTTTTGGGAGATAAGGTAGGAGCAGATTCGTTTATGAATTAATTTTTCGAAGATTTTTGCGAGAGGGTGTAAGTTGGATATTGGCCTATAGTTATTCAACTCTGTTTGGTCTCCTCCTTTGTGGATCGGGGTGACCCCTTTCTAT